CGAAGGATGAGCCGGTGGGGCACGGCATGCTCTGTTGCCAGGTGAGGCAGGAGACCTCTGCCCCCTCTCCCCGTCTTCTGCCACTGCCCTCTCTCCTGCCTCACCCAGCAATGGAGTGCACTGCAAACTCTCTCTTTCCTGCCCTCTCCTGACTTCTGGTTCTGACTTCTAGCCCGACTTCCAGTTCTGACTTCTGGGTCCATCTTGTTCGTATCAGTGAAAGTTTGCAACATGAAAGTTCGCAAGTAAGGGGCTATCTGTACTTACAGCGAAAGGGGAAGATTTATTAGTTGTGAGTTTAATTTTATGCAACTCCATCTGTATTAATTGGATGTGATTTTTTTATAGGAAAACTTTTTGTTTTTCTGTGATATGCCTGTTAATTGGCTGGATTTTCAGAACAAAAGAAAATAGTTACGTGGGCTTCAGTTTTCACAATGCTTTGCTTACAGCTGCATTTAATAAAGGAGTTTTTTTCTGAACCAGGCCTGGTTTCATGAGAATTCTTCTGGATTGGGATTTGGACATTATAGACTTGACAAGTAATTTAAAGGAGTTTTTTTCTGAACCAGGCCTGGTTTCATGAGAATTCTTCTGGATTGGGATTTGGACATTGTAGACTTGACAAGTAATTTGAGCTTTTGGTGTCTTCCATTGGCACATGCCTGCACTTACAGCCTGAATGGCACCAGAGGACATGAAGTGTCTGCTTACTTTCACTTATACAATACCTACGGTTGCTTGCTTTGGGCGGGGGAGGGGGATGGCTAGAAGAGGCCCTTTGGAGCAGCTGTTAAAGAAGATAAATTAACTTCTTTAAGTTTACTCCAATCAATGTTTGATGAATTAGGAGCTAAATTCAAGTTCCTTGAAAAGAAGATAGAGGAAGGATTGGATGATGGTTAATTTTGTAATGGAGGCAGAGATTGACATGAATGTGGATTTGGAGTTCAAAAAAAGGCTGGATTATGAAGGTGGTATAAACAAAGACATCATGGATCTGAAAATGGATTTAAAAATGCCAAAGGATAAGAGTGATAAGCAAAAGTATGCCAGAATGGATTTACAAATGAAACCAACTGATGTCACCATGATCAAAGGGGACATACTAGTAATGGAAAAGAAGAGTAATTTGGAAAGATGTTTTATCTTGGATTTGCAAAAGGAATGTGTTGAATCTGTGAGGCTGTTCCTGGGAAGAGGCAAAGAGAAATTACTAGGGCTGTTTCTGGGAGAAAATAAGGAGAGATTGATGGGGAATCAATATGTGGGATCCTATTTGAAAGGATTAAAGATTAAGCTCTAAATAAATAAAAAGATTACAAAGTGTATTTATTTTATTATGGTTAATATACAGTGGTACCTTGGGTTACGAACGCCTCTGTTAACGAACTTTTCAGGTTATGACCAGCTCTGGCCGCAAAAATTTACCTCGGTTTGTGAACTCCGCCTCAGGGTACGAGCAGGATACGCGGCCATTTTCCCTCCCGTGACACGGCCCGCGGCCATTTTTCTGCCCCTGACACATGGTCCGCGGCAATTTTTCCCCCCCTGACACGTGGTCCGCGGCCATTTTTCTGCCCCTGACACGTGGTCTGCGGCCATTTTTCCGCCCCTGACTCATGGTCTGCGGCCATTTT